GGTTAGTTGGATAGAGAGTTGGAAGACTCTAATTGGGGGTGCTGGTGGGGAGGTGGTGGTTGTGGGTTGTAATGGTTCGGTTGGACTTGATGAGAGGGCGCCGAGGGTGGGGTGGGTGGGGTTAGGGTGTGTTTAATTAGTTACATTCATGTTCCACATAATATGTAAAAATGGAAATACTAAATATCGTGAATTGAAGAAAGAGAGATAAGTGTGTAGGTTCATTTAGTGATAGGGATTAATGTGTTGTGTATAATGTTGGCGTAGATTTTTGTGAGTGGGTGTGGGTTGGCTGTCATGTTGATTGTTGTTTATCTAACAGTCTTTAATGGTAAGTTGAAGGGGTTGGCTAGGACGTAATATGTCGAGTTTCGGACTGCGTAGGGTTGGGGTTGAGGAGCTATCTCATGTCTGGAGTTTAATGGGTATCCTGCTACAAAGGGAGTGAAGAGAATGAAATGTACAGACTTGGGAGATGTGTGAAGACTACTCAGGAATAGAGGAGAATTTAGTACAGAAGAGGAAATGTCTAAACGGATCAATTGACTATAATCCTAGGTGTTGGATAAATTAAGGATATTCTTGTGTTGTTAATTGGGGTATACTTTAATGCAATGATTGAGTTGATGGATACGTAGTCAACTAAATTTATATAGGAAGATTACATGACTTTGGGTTTTGGAAGTATGGTGACATCATGGGTCTTTATAACAATTTATAAATTACTGTTGGAAGCCTTGGCCTACTGAATTACAATCAGTCGCTAAAAAATACATCTAATAGGTATTAATACCGTAGTGTAGTTACCTTTCATAAGGTTTTCAGGATTCTGTCGGGGTCCATATGAGGGATATTATGGGATATTCAATTATGGAGACACTCTCTACCTCCTTGGAGCGGTTTAGGATTTGTGCAAACTGTGGGCGCGTGGTTCTGGGAGATAAATTAAACAAACAAACTTTTAATTATATGATTTAATCGTTTATAACCTGTATGTACTTTGGCCTTAATTCATTATGTCTGGTACATAATTGTACTAATAGCTAAACTATTTGGTATTTACATTAGTGGCGGTATAACATGATCTGGAGAAATTGTGGTAGTGGATCACAAACTAAATGTTGGACTGTGAATTTAGGTGAGAGAGCCGGATGAATGGCTGAGAGCAACGATAAACAGAAATAATGGAGCCACTGCGCGGACAGTGTAGTGTGTGTATTGCTGATTGTAGCTGTGTAGAGTAGGGGTGGGTGTTATCATGTTAGAATAAGAGCCGTACAGCCAACAAACACACTTTGCTTCTCTGAGCTTCTGTTTAATGAATCTAATGGTGTTATATTATCTTAGGATCCTCTCATCATCACTAATATTTTGAGCAGCATTTTTCGGTCTTTAGGAATATGAGGACTTAGTAGGGTGAACAGATAGAATTTATGCATGTAATGCCCTGGATGAGGAGTGACATCTGTGAGCGGTGGTGGGGGCTGTGGTTAAATTGAAGCGATATAGCGAAATTACTGACTTAAGAATGTTTTTGCGTATTCCAAATATAATGGGGCATTTGACATGAATGTGTTGGAACTGAACTTGTCTGCTAATGGGTTTATGTGATGAGAGTGCAATCAATGTCTCTTTTTAATTTCATTTATCTCTATGTAAATTACAAGAATCTATGAATGTAAACCAGATTAGTCATGATAATTCTCGACGCTGTACCATGTGTAACAGTATTCCATCGTACTAGCCAGTTCTGCCAGTCTTTTCTCTATTTGTATATGTCTACTGGTATGCCGTGGGACGACTCAATCAGGTGCTGATCTAACGCGCGCGGCAGCCTGGTGTTCCAACTTCACCTAATTTAATATTACCTATCTTCTTTCTCTCCGCAGTCTCTGGCCAGAATTAAGTTTTGAGCAGCATGCCATAAAAAGCAAATCTTGTGAGTAGTGTTTAGCTCTTCTTTCGAAGTTGGGCTTCCTTGGGTTTCGACCCTGTCTTGTATGTGTTCCCCAAGACACTGTCCTCGGGTACGCTCTCCTAGTCTCTCTATGTGAAAACCTGAAACAGGCCCTGGTGTTCCGACTCTTATTGCCGCTGGCCCCTGTGTAGTCTGTATCTCTCTAGGTATGTTGGTTGGACAAATAACTGGTGAACGTGTTTCCTATGGCGCGCTGGTCTCAGTCCTGGATTGCGTAATGTGTGACTTGGGCGTTTCGCGATGGCACTCTATCAACGCGTCGCATTAGAAACAGGAATGTTAGAAGAGAGTTTTGTGTCCTCGTAATTTTTGTGTTACAACGAGCCGAAGTTTATCACTTTTAGTGCCTAGTTGTTAATTCACAGACCAAACGCCTGAGGAAATAGAAACATCCAAGTATGGATAATGGAAAGTATTGGTTTTTTAGTCATTTTTGGCGTGAAATAAAAAAAATATTTAGGCCTGGATGAGTTACAAACAGTGGGGAGTGAGCAGGTGCCTGCAGACTACAACGAAGTACAGTCAGCTGCCTGGATCATGGAGAGGATAATCCCTACGGTAATGATATAACTTATGGGATGGAATAACTTTTTATTGTTTCCAAAAAGAAAACAAACAGATTTCATCTCGTAATAATGGTCTTAATTGGGTACTAATTGTGTGTAAGGCGTAACTAATATCACAGTCTGTACAAATATTGGAAAAAATCTGGAGACCAAATAATGTATGAGAACAGTGAATTATTATGATAGGAATTCAATGCGATATATGGGCAAAATACACTACACCAAACACATAGGTTAGAATCAGTTAAAAAGCAGGCTGTTAAGAGATTAACAAAGGGGAGAAAACTAATCAACAAGAAGAATGCACAGCAAAAGGCTGGTATAAAAACTACTAACGCATGCAAACACTAAGGCCATAAAAAATGGCCACATATTCAGTAAATACTGCATTCTAGATGATAAACTGTTCGGCCACGGATCTTTGGGCCACATTAAAGCATCAAAAAGGAACACGTTAGAATCATGCAAGGCTATAGACTTCCGGGAGAGCTTATGGCCTTGGGTCTGGTTAGACAACCGTGATTCTTACGCCAGCTTACTGGGATTTACACAAAATACAAAAAATTTTTTTCTGAAATATTTATTCACTGATTCACTTTAACCTAATTTCCCCCTCTTCATCTCGGTGCTGTTCAAGAAAAAACTAAATCCCAAAAATTCAAACGGTTCTGAAGATTACTCACCAAGAGTTCTCAATATTGGTCATCTACAGTTGTATAATGTAATTGATCTGGGATGACAAAAATCAATGTAAGACTTTAGGGAAGGTATCTGGGGTAATGCATATGAAAAGGGCAGATACTCACCAGTTTGTTCAATGTATACTAACACCCAAGTCTTGATTGGCATATATGTATAGCAATAAGAAAGTCTCTTTAACCAGAGAGGTTCACGATTTTCACCCTAAAGTGCACAAAATATCCAAGGTCATTACATCACCATTACATTGGGAGTTAATTAAAGGTCCAGTGTGTAACATTAATGAGGGATCTAGTGTGCAGATAGTTAGAAAATAAAAGTCCTACTTCTACTGGAGGCTGGCATGTGTAACCACCGGATGTTCTACAGCTACGGCAGAAACGGACGAACCAAACACTGGCATCTTGCATCCACCCATAGTAAGCTCTACATAGCTTTGAAAGAAGAATGTGTTCTTAATTTTTCTGAGTTGCCAGTCTGCAATACTAATCGAACACATAGCTAGATGTAAACGACTAAATCCTACACACTGGCTAATTAAAGTGCTGACAATTGGATATAGCATGTACAGTGACATCAATCTAAAAAGTATTTGCTTATCCAAAGTAACTAATGGTAGACCATATGGTGTGTAATGCAGCCACATTCAGTGAACAGTGCTTACCCCATCAAATGTCTAGGTCACTAGTGGTGACGGGAGAGGTTAGTCACATTATGTAACACAGAAGGCTCCCCTGCAACCATGGTGAGTAGACGTATGTATGTGAAATGAGAACGTTGTAGTAAGTCCTTTTCGTTACTGGTGGTGTCTCGTTTAGTCGTTGCTCGATGGGCACTGGTCAATTAATAGGGTCACCAACAGCCCACAGAGGGCAGCCGTGATGTCAGTAGTCACGGCTAACGTAGATCACATATCTCTCGCAGACACTTGCAGATGCTGGACTATATCCATTGTCTGTATATTATATTCACAGACAGTGTCAATAGGTTCTACAATGGAAAAAGAGTGCGGAACAAGATGAATCTCTCACAACCATCCCACCTAGCCATTGATTTCATATGAAACTGATGTAGTGTGATTAAAGTGTTAATACATCTATTTCCCTCGTCGAACAGCCCAGTATTTAATGTCTAAAGTGGTTTTATGAGTGTTGTGATAGTGATTGTTGTAACAATAATATACTATCATCATCATTGGTGTCTGTTTTCATTTAAACCCGTTTATTAGATCTCTGACATGTTTCATTGTATAAGGTATGCTTTGGATATCTTCTTCAAAAAGTACATTCATGATGTGTGCAAAAAGCTCCCATGGTCAGGTAGATGTCATTAGTTATTGATTACACATTAAGGCACTAACAATGTGAGATCCTCCCTACTAACCACCAAAGTGGGCTCAACAACTAGTTTCACATTAAAAATCAAAAATTTATCTTCTCTGGCAGACTCCAGCTGAGAACATGTTTTTGTATATTTATTATATACAGTTTGTGTAGTAAAAGGTAACACACTTCTTGTACGATGCAGTTTACACCAAAAGTCACAAAAAGGCACACTTTTGAAAAAAGTTTGTGCAACCTACGCCCTATAAATCACAGACAATGTTAACGATGTCACTCCTGTGTATATATGTGTTAGATCATGTGTATATTGTCTTTATATGTGTACTTATAGTTGTAGTTTGTGTGTAGAAATTCATGGGTTGTGAAGGTACTCTATTGTACAGACTGTGAAAAAAAATGTTCTCACTGCTGAGGACAATAAAGAATGAATCTGAAAGACTTTATGTGTGACTGGTTTCTTCCTGAGGCTACAAAGAAGGCACTTTGCTCCAGTCCTGTCAGCTGCCTCTTAGTCTGGGAACTTACTTTGCACCTGGATGACATTTTCCCAGGTGAAGCTTTAGCACCCCCTGAGTGTGCAGCCGCAACAAGAGGTCAAACTCAGTTGGCATGGCATGGAATCCTCTTGTAGCTGGTTGGTTATCATAGTAGTGGTTAGTCAGGGCTTGGAAGTTATGTGGGTGATTACTGAAGGGCCAGAACCCATACAGATGCACGTTGGCACAGAGTTCCAGCGCCATGCTAGCCATCATTATGCCGGTGCTGAGCCGCACTGCTCGGAGGCCTTGGGAGCGCCAGAAAAGCGCCAGTTTCTCAAGGTACTCAGGGTTGAAGAAGATGGGCTGGATTGGGCTTTCAAAGTCCTCCATGGTGTAGAAGGCCCGCAGGCACACAGGAGTGTTGTGGCTGTAGGAGAAGGCGGGAAGGAGCAGCAGGGAGTTGCCATAGCTACGCAGACTCTCCACAAATGGACGCCGGTGCCCCATTAGAGCCCCATACCTAAAAAAAATAAACAGTAGATGTGAAGCAACAAGACAAAAAGTAACATTTTTAGGTGACAGTGCAGTAAGATTCATCCTCTCGCTCACTTCTTTATAAGGATGCTTGGGTTCGCTGTCACAAGGTCGGTCTTGATGCCCACATGTTTCTCAAAGCCGTTATTCAAAGGAGGTAGGTTGCACCTGAACAAACAACAGATAATTAAGATTGTTATACAGAAGTTATACAAAGGTGAGTTTAATTCTGTTGGTTGACATTGTCAGTCCACAGCACTAGACACATTTCTCACCTGATCACAAACTGAGCTGAATCAATCGTATTTCCACAACTGCTGTTGGTCAGTATCCCTCCATTCCCAACAACAGCGCACGTGTCCCATGTTTTATTTGGGAAGGGACGCTCCTGGAATCAACACCAACGGTATCATGCATTACAAAACAACAACATATATGCTGATGATGACTGTATGAAAGACAAAGAGCCATTTTAGGGGAGGGAATGGCTCCATCTCATGTGCAAAGGATTTCTCAATCCCCCCCAAAGTAATGCTAACATGTGTGTCTATTCATTTAATTTGCTAATGTATCACATTAATGTTCCCTCCTTCTCTGGTTAAATTGCCTCAGAGTCGAGGATTTTCTATAAAGTGTTGCAATTTCAAAGATATAAAAACAGCTAAAAATCTAAATAAGTTTTTTGTTTCGTCAAAAACAGAGATCTTATTCATGTCTTGGTGAAATCAGTGGTTTGGGTTGTTATCAGTGTGATTCATGTGTGTTTCAAATCAAATCAAGATTTCCACCACATTGGGCAATAAAGCTGTATTTTATTGTTACTATGGTGATTAAGGAGAGACCAGCTGCGCCGTCTCACAAAAAGAAGCCTGCAAAGCCTTACATATTTTGTCTAGAAATGTGAATTGGGACTTAAGTAAACACATAACACAACAAAATGCAGCCTCTTTACTTCAGACATTAGACCATTTCATACCAGTTAGGCCAAATTCATTGCAGGTCCTTCTGGTCAAAACACAAGCTTCAAAAATGTATTTGGTAACAGGAGGGATAGCTCAGTGGTAGAGTGTTTGTTTTTGGATGAAGATGATTAAAGTCTCCTCTTTGGGCTTCACTGTGCCGAATGATGTACGTGCAGAGTTTAACACTAGAAGGATGTTTTCACATTCATCTGCTGAAGTGGAAAGTTTTTCTGTTCTCATGGAAAATCTGATCATAAATAATTTGGATCGTGCCCAGCTGTTTATGGAAGCCATTCAGGACTAAGTCAACCATGAGAATATATGGTACATATTTCTTCATTTTTTATTCATCTGGCCCCCATACATGTATGGGGGCCAGATGAATGGGGGGTGTATCTCAGTGGTAGAGCACTTGACTTAAGAGGTCCCCAGTTCAAATCTGGGTGCCCCCTGCAAAATGTTTTTGTTGTATGTAGTGTTTTTAGACTCAAGATAATTTAATCTGCCATTACACTTCATCAGTATGCTTCACCATGCACCGTAAACTTGCAGATGACACAGTTGTTGCAAGTCTGCTTCATTAAAATGATGTGGCCAGTGAGCGTGTGCAGTAGTGTGATGAGCTTACATGTGTCACCAAAATGAGCGAACAGACATGAAAGACCACCATACCTTTGCAAAGGTGCTGAAAATCTCCGGGGTCACCTGGAGGGTCCTTTTCTTTTCCCCGTCGTACACAAGCTTTGATCCCACTGGAGTGTTGGCCTGGGAAATGATGGCCTTGTCAAAACCATGGCACTTGCTGTTCAGCTGAGATCTGGGAAACCACAAAGATTTCCGTTAAATTAAATATCATACAAGACAGCCAGGAGTCGCTGACAGTGATTTTAGGTGTTAAACAATTATGGAACAAAGTTAATTTGCAAAAATACAGTAAGAATGTCAATTTTTGTTCAGCTCATAAATAAAACATTACCGCTTTCATTTAAGGATTTTAATAACTTAAATTCAGTGAAAGCTGTCTTACCAAAACTCACAGGACCTCAACAATATAAGAAGAAGAACATATAAGAAGCAAATAAACGTTTTTTTTGTTTGTTTAAACCTTTTAAGTCTATTACAGTTTGAACTATTTGTGACAAATGTAGACTAAATCAGGTGAGGGGACCCTGACTCATCTTTTCTGAGCTTGCCTTAAAGTTAAAAAATTTTGGGAGATAATGGTTTAATTACTTAGTAGATATTGGGAAAGAAATCCACACACATGCTATTTTGGGTTTGATCTGAAAGTTTCCCAGAACTGCCATATGAGACCCAGCAAGCTTTAATGCTTGTATGCTTCTAGCTTAAAGGGTTATTTTGAGAGAATGGAAGTCTACTTCCACTTCTTTATTCAAGAAGTGTCATAATGATATGACGTGTACTGTCATTATTTGGAAGAGATGTGGTATGTCTCATCTGACTCATAATGTAAATTTGTTGGGATTTCAGATTTTATTATTATATCTGAAAGCAAATGGACAAATGGACTAGTGTGTGATTATATCTGTGCCCATCTACAGGCAAATGAACAGGCATTTTCCTATGTTTTCCTATGTTTGCCTGTATTTCCATCATGGTGGCTATGAATAGACACAGATACTGTATAGCATATCTGTGCATGTATAGCCTGTTCTAAAAGTTCAAACTAGAACAAAAACCAATTAAAGCTGCAAGCAGCATTGGGCGGGACCTCGCACTCCACGCAACTCGGGGCGTGGCACGGCCGCGTCACTTGCCGTTGTAACACGTGCGGACCACACATGAAAATCTCACGTAAATCAGCTCAAAATTGCCATGCAGCGCTTACTTCCTGTTGCCAGTAGGTGGCGCTATCACTATGTCTGAATATTGTCATGTAGATGTGTTCAGGGCGGGACTCTTATCAAACGTGTGAAGTT